TACATGTACATATAAATCTATATACATATATATATATATATCTATATATATATGTACATATATTTATACAAATAAAACTATATACACATCTATATATAAATATATATATATATATTCATATATATTATGTTCTTGTTCGTGTTCATGTTCATGTTATTTAAAGTCGTGTCCGTTTCACCTGATTACTCACGCGTCTTTCACGTGCCCACATCGCGTACGTATTCCTACCTACCATTCAGAATAAATCCCTGGAAGGGCAAGACCTCAGTGAACGCCGGGAAGCTCAACACCTTGCGCTCGGAGGTGCTGCGGTTCAAGAAACGCCGGACGGGATGGGCTGGCCCACAGTACCATCTGGGGTATGCTTGGTGCACCCTTATCAGTGAGTGGGTGGTCAACCAACATCTGCTGCGTGTGCTGTTCTCGTACATTGAGCGTGGAGTGCTGCCCAAGGATTCGGCGTTGACGGCCCTACCGGAGACGATGCGCTCGGCGGCTGTGGAGAAGACGTACAAGAAACGCAAGCAGCACAAGGCCAAGGAACGCAGTACGGTGCCGCCGTGGCTGCGGTCTAGGTGAGAGCGTGCTGACGCGCAGATTGTGTGGGGCTTTGGTATAGGCTTGGGAATATGTGTATAGGCAAACGCTAGAAGTGTGCGTGCATTTAGAGGGGTACGTGCATGCAGGAGTATACGTGCACACAAAGGTTTAGGTACCAATGCTTTCTTTGATTGCTGCCCTTATTTAGTTTAGCGAGCGTCCACCTATGGCTATGGCGTCACAATATCATCGTATTACCGCATTCCTCATAGGACTTCTGCTCCACGAAGGTACCAACACCGTATGCGTCGATGATACGTATGCATCAATGATACGTATGCACCAATGATACGGCACCTTCACTGCAGCCGCAGCAATGACCTTCACAACCACCTCACCCACCTACCACCCACGTTCTGTGGCTTTCGAACCAATGCCGCATCCCATCTACCACATGACTTGCACTACAGGTTCAGCAACCGCAGGAAGAACAACAACAGCCCCCACGCGCTTCATACGCGACTGCCAGACGAGTTCATAGACCCCACAGTGGTGGATGCTCGGCTGATGTCATCCAAGCACTGGGTGATGGACAACTTTGGGTTGCGCACACAGTTCAAAATCGACGACCGGGTATGTTTATTTGTTTGCGTTTCTGTTTGCGTTTTATGTTTGAGTTTAGAGTTGGGTTTGGGTTTGGGTTGATTGTTTGTGTTGATGTTGGTGTTTGTGTTTGTGTTTGTTTTGTTGTTCATCTCCTCAAGCGTGGTAGATACGAAGGGGGGGGGGGGATTGTGTATGCTGTGGTGGCTTGGAATACCAGTGGTTGATGCTTAGCTGATCTGCGGGATAGTGAGCGGTGGACTCCCCTGGAGTGCGTGCAGCGGTCAGGCATGTATGTACACCTTTGATTCCTATGTCCCCGTGTCTGTGTGATCTTGGATCTCTGTGTATTGTGCTGGTTCGTGTTTCTAAGGGTCTGTCTGTTGGTTGGTACTAACTGGAAAGGTTTTCATAGATCCTGAAGGAGGTGTTTTTAATCTCTTTATCTATGCATATACACAGTATATGTTCATCCGTATATATATATATATATATATATATATATGTTGTGTGTGTGTGTGTGTGTGTG